ATTTTTAATAACACAAAATGCAGTGTTTCTTAATATAATTTTACATTTATTTGCAAATATTCTAAGTAATATTGTATGTTTTCTTTTTATTATATATACATACTCGTACATATATATTTCCCACAATTTTTAGATGAAAAACAGAATCTCAACAAGCAAATTATAATTCAGTTTATTTAATGCTCGGAATTTGATTTGTCTCCAGGTCGGTATCATACAACAATAAAGTATGTTTGTTATATGCCATTTAACATTTGAGTAAGATTGCAGGCATACTGTCATCATCAGCTAATCGTAGCTGATTTAACACAGAACACCTTTGGCTTGACGTACCCCCAACAAAAAATAATCTAACGTAGTCAAATCGCATAATTTTAGAGTTTAACCCCTTTTCTTTAGCACAATGGGCCTCCTAAAGGCCTAGTTGCGTCGTAAGACAACCACTCAACCTATCCCTTTTCTTCTCACCCTTATTATATGGTCACCAAAAGTTAGCACTGGGCGATTCTCTTTGTCGTTGAGAACCAAGAAATCACGAATCATTTGCTAGTAGCACTCAACACTGACCGTAACGTTGGCTACATCAGGTTGTAGAATAACAATGTTCTTAGCTTTCTGATCAGGTCAAACGGTAATTTTTTCTGCTTACAAGGCACTTGAAAAGCTCTAATTGCCACTGATTTTTAAACATTGTTTGGATGTATTTCCTTACTTGCCAATTCACTGAAGAATACCAAACACAAACGACAAGCACCTATGTTCATTTTAATAGCTGGTTTGGTTTTGGTTGAAACCATTAATGGGGAACGCTGCTGACAACAACACATTAAATTGAAATGAAAGAATGCCGAAAAAGCTCGAAATTTATAACTTAATACGAGGCCCACACCTTGCCTCTTCTGACTACCATTTGTTCCGGTCGATGCAGAACATTGTCACTGCAATAAAGTTCACATTAAAACAGGGTATCAAAAATTGCCTTGATTCATGCTAGGTTGCGGCGCAGATCTTTTGAGATGGGAAAATGTTATAACTTTCGATTAGCAATAATTTGAGTAATGCGACTGTATATGTTTTTCTGTAATAAACGTTCAAATACAGTGTATAAAAAACATAAACAAGCTTATAAATCGGATAACCACAATACCATTTCAAAGAAAATGCACTTCGATTGCGATATTGTTTTCAGTGACTAATATTGCAGGCTGGTATTCAAGCCTGTATTCTGGTCAATACGAGTTTTCTTGCGGGTAATATAGGCCCAATTACAAAAAAGAAGCAAGACTGATAAATTGAACAATTTCAATAGCGCCTTTATCTTTAGCTGTAGTAGTTTCTCTTGAACCATTTTGTCTCATCTTCAAACTCTCTGGGAGTTACTTAACTTTGTGACAGCATAGTTTTTTTATTTGCGAGCTTCTCAACTGTCTTTCTCTATCCCTCACTCTCTCTATAAAACTTACTTATAGACAATGCAGTGAACGCTATGGAGTCTAAACACCCACCGAACATATTTTAATTATTTGTTATACTATTCTATTAAACACATATCAACATATGTCGGTATATGAGGCCTGGTTAAGTTAGTGATTTTTAACTCTTAATAGTTTTAATTAAGTAATTTTCGGTCAAATTTTAATTGGTTAATTTCAAAATTATATATTTATTGATTTAGCAACAAACACACTTTCACATATATATTTGAAAATGTCGTTATTTCGAAAGCCTTCCTCTACAAGTCCAGGTGCACTGTAATACAACTGTATACCTAACTCATTCCACATCAAAGTTGCATGCCACGAACTGTGCTTGGTTGCTGAGTCTGCAAAGCTTCTACAATAAAACCAACAACAATTACCGATTATTCGTTTGCAATTTACTGTGGTTACGCCGACATAATTTGATTATATGCATACGCTTGGCAAATGCTCGGAATTAGCGAGCAGCTTTATGCACCCAATCACGCACGCACACAGATAAATTTATTTAAATGATGAACTGCAGCTACTAAATATAATCGAATTCAGTTAATTATGCGCACAATATTGACCACAAAATACCAAATGCATTTGTTTGTTTATTGTCACGTTTTTATGGAAATCTGCATGCGGTTGTGCTTGTCGCGCCGAGCTAACAAAAATCACGGCATTAAGGCGGGCGTAAACTAAGCCGTTCAGCTTTTAAAGATTGATAACAATGCGATCGTTTATTTATACAATAATATGTACGCCTGGAACTAGATTAGGGTGTACTGTGAAAGTGACGCGAAACTTTTTCAGATATCTAAAAGTTCCATTGCATATATACAGGCTGAAGAGTTTTTATTTGAGTTCACATTTTGGACGAAATTTAATTTTACCAATCAAAGTAGTGGCTATCGAAAGCGATTTACTAAGTATAGTGATCATCCAACTTTGCCGTTCAGTTCGGCCATCCGTTCGTCTATGCAAGCTGTACCTTTGGTAAAATTGAGATATCTTGATGATACTTGGTACACATGTTTCCGACCACCTTAAGACAGTTGGTATTGCAGATGGACGTAATCAGACCGCTGCCATGCCCACAAAACGCCATTAATCGAAAACCAATAAATTGCCACAACTAAGCTCGACGAAAAAACACAAGGCTGTTTGTTATTAGGTACAACGTACCATTAAGGGTGAGCATCTGCAGTTTATTTGTTTTAAAAGTGGGCCTGGCCCTCTAATAAGTTCAATGAGCATATTTCCTAAGCCGACAAAGCCATAATAACCAAATTCACTTAGAACAAACATTTTTAGCGCTCCTATAGACGGTGTGAAAGTGGGTGAAATCGAGTGATAAGCCCGCCCACTCCCCATATAGCGTTTTTGATTAAAACTACTGCTGAGTTTAGTCATTAAATACACCAGACAGTGACGCTGACAAGCGGTGTGGCACCACCCACTTTCAAGGGAAAACCCATATCTCGAAGTCTGCTCGGCCGATTTCAACCAAATTCAATGTGTGACGTATGTTACAGTGCGAAAATGGATAGTAACCATCATTATTGCCAATATAACACAATTTAAAGGTCCATCTGATTCCTTCGCTTTTTGGTATCAAACACCTTTGTGGTATCAAACACCAATAAATGTATCCGGATAAAACTTTGCAAGAATAGTGCGCTTGAGCGCCTTACGACCAAAATTGTCAAGAGTGCACTCCAACTGTTCAAGCCCCCAAATAGCGAATATGTGGACTCCCGTACCGCAGCAGATTTTTTACTGAAAATATCGTTCAATGCGTGATATATAATATATAATTGAAATTCGGAGAGGAACCTTTCCTGATAATAGTATGTCTGGATGTCAAAAATAGGTTGAATCGGATCAATACTTTCTATAGCCCTCATATACCTAATATAAAGATTTTCGATCTTCCGGGTGACTTTATACCGCATATATCGTTCAACATGTGAGTTATCTCAATGGAAATGAGAGAACGTGTTTTACTCATAACAGTGTATCTTTATGTTTAAAATAAATACAAACTCTATCTAGCCTCCATATAACTAACATTAGGATTTTCGAACATCCGGCTGGCGTTACTCCATATGATTGTCACGGTCAGCGAGTATTATGTATTTGCTTCAAAATACCATTTTGAGTATAAATGAGCAATGTTAAAATTATTGCCTTAATCCCTTTCTCTATCCGTATATAGGATATTCCATAAAATGATTTCCGTCTTTCCATCTGTATTTAAATCGTTCAGATATGTCAAAAGGCGTAACATTTTAATGAAAAATCTTAAACATTATGTGTTTTAGTGCTAAATTAGATTGGAATTCTTCCAATCCTCTGGTGGACGTTTTCCACTTCAACTCAATATATTAAATTTTTCTTTTGAGTTAATATCCTATAAATACTTGTATATCTCATTTGAAGGTGTTTTTAACATAATTTTAGCTGACGCAAACTAAAACCTAGCAATAAAACTAAGTCTAAGCTTATGGTCTTCAATTTAAGTCAAGAAGATATCAAAATTTGATTGTAATTTACTCACGATTTCATCGAATAATGAATATAGCAAACGCTAGGTTGTTGGACAGTTTCGACGTCTAATATACTCAATAGAAAACCTGCTAAATTTAATTGAGATGGCTTTGATTCAAACAATTCTCAAAAATTGTATGTGGTGCAACTCAAAGGGATTAAATCAGAAAATTATATCTAACAAATTTATTTTCAAAATAATTCATTTGTACAACTATTTATTTGATTGCAAAAATACTACGATTGAGAATGTTGTCTCACAAATAACGATGCTAGCAGATGTTGTTCCCACACTGCTGATATAATTCTGTCACTTCTTGTCAAAAGTTTGAGGTTTCATGGCGTCGACACTGTTATCGATTAATTTATCACATTTGAGCGCCGAAATTTCTTGACGAATTGCGACATTTTATCGGACAATGATGTTGACAATCTGAACTTCATTACGTCTATAATCTTAATCCTACGAATCGATGAAGCTATGAAATATTAATTTTTATATATTAGATATGGCATTAATAGGAATGTGTAGAGCGATTGTAGGTAAAAAATCGCGCTGTGCTTAGTGGAACGTTTTCATATTGATCTAGGTATACAATCGATATAAAGCACGGAGATCCACGTGATTTTCAGTAAATAATGGTTAAGGAAAGATACGAGCGATGTACCCTGCCAGCATTGCTACGCCAGGAACTAAAATATATATATTTTATATGCATAATATTGAATTAATTTTAAGTAATATTATTGGTATTGTTCATCTGTCAAAAATTGGTCGTATCAGCCCAGAAATCTTCTTTGGCTCATGCACAACAACTTTAAAAATTATCACAAAATCAAATGCATAGTTAATGATTCTATAAAGGACATAACAAACATTAGTTTCTATATTGTATATATAGATACATATTAAGTGTTGTTGCGATATCTTTCTGAATCCCTGAATTAAATTAATAACACAAGTATAAGTATAAGAGCTCGTAAAAGCTTAATTGCACAATTTTAATTTTTTCACCACAAAATCATTGCCAGCCTTACTTCTGTCACCTTCTTATTGTAACTCGTACGCTCACAAATATTAAGCGCTTAATCTCGTCGCAAACTAACGGTCAAGGGTTATCGCGCTGAGCTTCGAGCACAGCCTAAGTTTACAAGAAGCTTCATTCTTATCGCTTCCACGATTTCAGTAGCAAACAGAAAATCAGCGCGATTAGTGAGCCAACGAAGTTCTTAAAGAACGGAAACTTATTATTTTATTATAATATACCAACAACAACATCTACCTCAAACAACAAACAACATGCGTGGATTGTCGCTGCTGCACTTTGCCTTGGGCATTTTACTCTGCCTGCTTGCTGGTGATAAACCCGCTCTTGCACTGCGCATCAACGTCCGTACTACTACACCGGAAACAACAGCAACTAATACTGAAGCAACGAGCACATCATCTAATCGACCCATCGTTATCCATAACAACATACCAAACATCGATGCCAGCTGTATGGTGCGCTATAAGTGTACCGCAAAATTGAAGGGCGTTACAGTGGCGCCCAGACCTTGTACTAAATACTGTGTGAAATTCGTTGAATGTCCGAATGCAACGAAAGTTGCCGGTTCGCCCGGTGAGTGCTTTGAGCTGGATGAGGCCGCACTTCGCCAACAATATGAGGGCGCTACGAAGAAGGGCAGTACAGTGCCGCTAATGGAGGTGGCTATGATTGATTTCCCTTGCCGTCCTGGTTTTCTGCCAGACGACTTGGGCCGCTGTCGTGAAGTATGGTGAAGAGCTTGTGCTGTTTTTGTTTCAACTTTTTTAAATATGCCCAAAATAAAGCCGTTGTATATTTTCGTGGAAAAGAGTTTATTATTTTATTTTAAGTTTTAATTGAAGTGCATACATACGAACATAATAGATTATTTTCTGCTATTCATCGAAAGGTTGGTCGAGTGTTATCGCGTCTACGTTTCCAAAAAAACTCAGCAATAAACTAAATATTCGAAAACCCCAAATATACAATAGCTATTCCTTAGAGGACAAGGAAGAACGCAAATTGATGAAGACTTGAAAAAGTACGAACTGCTATAATAAAATAAAGTTCTATAAATATTAAAATAATCCTTTAGTGATTAAAAATATATATATGTAGATACTGAACTGTTTTAAAGAAAAAATAAAAGTTTTTCTTCGGTAAAAAAAATGTTAATTACAATAGTGGGCTTAGCAGAAAACTTTGAACCAAAGCTTGTTCCAAGCACTTTGTACATTCCAATGCTTTGAATGTATTCCTTCTAGTGTCGAACCCTTTTCCCTCTAATATATATTGATTCTTAAAAAGAAGAAAACATAAATTCACGTTTTTACGTATTTACTCCATATTTATATATAAATAATCAATAATAGTTTTCTGTGGATAACTAGGGATAATGTCTAGTTAAATTCGACTTAAAAAATATCTATATGCTATAGTGGACCGGTCTGAATAATTTGGGCGAAAATGGTAGCATTGTCGTGGACAGTAACCTATTCCAAATTTCGTGGAATGAATCAGCAGCTTTTTGGGAAGAAAAACTGGCGTGCAAAATTTCAAATCGATATCTTTAAAAATTAAGGGACTATTTCGCGTACATACAGACATACTTATATGGTTGAATCGACAAAGCTCCTCCCGCTAATCATTTTTATTTATACTTTATAGGATCCCCAACTTTTCCCTCTGGGTGTAACAGACCTCATCGAAAACGGAACACATCTTGTTGAGGGTTTAGTAACGATACTTATACGGTGTCTAAACGAGTGGACGGTATGGTAGGTAGGTAGGTAGAGTGGCTGTCCAATGACGCAGCTAGGCCTATAGGAGGCTCATTGTGATACCACCGGGACTAATATTCCCTCACTCTATCGTCTCTTCTCTGAACCAACCTGTGCGCCTGATGAAGTTCATCAGTACAAATAATTTTATATTAGCAATTTCTGATACGTCGTCAAGGAATCCACGACCAATAGTTGCGATTCTTTTCCTATATAGAGCTTTACATTCGCATAGAAGACGCTTTACAGTCTCCTCTTCCTCTACTTCTTGACAGCTTCTACAATAGTTGTTGTATGGTACACCTAGCCTACTGGCATGTCTACCAATTAGACAGTGACCTATTAGTACTCCTATCAGAGTTCTTATATCATTCCTTTTAAATTTTAGTAGTCGGTTTGTGCGACTCACGCTCCATTCCTGCCACGTTAGTCTGCTGGTTGTGCAGGTTATTGAGTCTCTCCGAGACTCAACTATATTTATAGCATGTTCGCTGATGAAGTGTTTGCAAGTTGCCAGAGACATAAAGATACCCTCTTTTTTCAGGGGTTAGCTGCAAAGTGGTGCCTGTTCTGGCTAGTTCATCTGCTTCTCAGTTACCAGGAATATCACTATGTCCTGGAACCCATTGCAGGTTTATAGTGGACGGTATACTGAGTATGAGATTTTTTATTACCTGAAGAAAGTATTTACTGAACTCGTGGTATTTCTCGAACTTATCGAAAAAAGTGTAATCATATAGCATTTCAGAGAATATGGAATGAGAAGAAGAGAGAGAACAACAAAAAAAAAATGTTGACTTGGACGCATACCATAATCTTAAACCTTAGTCGAAACCTTTAGCAAAATGTGAACAAAATCCAAAATATAGTAGAATCCCTTCAATATATGGATTTAAAGTAAGCAGATAACATATGTTTATATTTCCAGGAAGATTCCGGGTTTGTGTCCAAAAACCTTTTGATGCACTTTAAATAAAATGATATGAAAATCACGACTATAAAGCGATTAGCTTATGAGCTAAGTTTTTGAATGTAATGAATTCCGAATGTTCAATATTCACATTCAATTTATTACCACTAAAACACGTATTAATTGAAACTGGTACAAAAGTCTCCTTTAAAGAATATAAAATGTTGAAACTACTTCTGGAACTAGATTTAGACACTTTGTAATGCAATTAAACGGCGTAATATAAGAACTATTGGTTTTAGTATACAATAATTGGGACCATTCTTCGGCGAATCCCAGAGTATACGTGAAGTTGCGTTGTAGTTATACTTCAGCTACTTGGATACACGAAGTTGGTATGAAAATAAGTTGATTGTGTTAGCTCGGTGAGAAAATAAAAATGAGGTTCTACAATCAAAAGGTTATTGTAACAGCTATAAACATTTATAGGGTATTTTTTTATAGGTATCAAATTTAATAGAAGGTTAGTTTTAATAATAGCTGTCAAAGTGAAGACACGGTATATAGTGTTAATAATTTCTAAGACGCTCTTTTACACACAAAAACAAGAAGTCTGGTTTGCATGACGAGGGTCCTCACATTTTTATGCCCTGAACAGGGTATACTACGAAGTTTGTAACACCAAGAAAGAAACGGCGGAGACTCTATAAAACGTATATCTTGTCCGTCTGTCTATCGTCTGTCTGTATATACGCAAACTAGTCCTTCAGTTTTTAAGATATCGATCTAAAGTTTTGCACACGTCTTTATCTACTCAAAAAGCTGCTCATTTGTTGGAATCGCCGATATCACTATAGCATATAGCTGTCATACGAACTGTTCGATCAATTTGACATGATATCTTCACGAAATTTGGCATTACCTATTGCTCACAAGGCAAGGGTAAAAACTCCGCAGAAATTTTTCAGATCGCATCACTACAGCAATCATGTTCTTGTATGGAATCTTTTTGAATTGTGAAGGGTATTATAGCTTCAGTGCATCCGAGGCCAACGTTATTGTCAATCATAAGCGCTTCGGCTAATGTTTCGTGATTTCTTTAACATTTAGTTTTTTTCTGTGTTTTATATGAAATAAAAGTTCTATGTCTCAGAGGAAACGCCGTTTATATCGTTTGTAAATTCAAAAACTTTTATCCGGGAATATACTACAGTTATGATTATAATATAATCTGACTTCTGTTTTACTACTGGCGAACGGTTTACGCGATAAAAGCTTTTTATTTCACTAATTCCACCAGCTGTTAATCCACTTACTGTTTGACCAATTACCGGAAGGATGTATAACAAATAATAAAGGAGCATCGGTTTGTTTACATCTAATGTGTTCTTTTATTCAAGTATTTATTCATCATTTATACATGCATATGTTTTTATATATATAATTTATATATACTGTATATAGTATATAGCTTAAGTTTTTTTATCCGTAATGATGCTTAATTACACATACACATACATATTTATGCAATAATAGTATTAATTATAATAATAACGCAATAATATTAATATTTAAATGTAATTACTTCACTTATTTTGTTTTGTTCTTATTAAGTAATTAATTAAATCTCTTTTCATTACATTTAATCAATCATGTCTATATTGTGTTTGTATGTATGTTATACAATACAAGATAGCTAAGACAACAAATTTGGTACGTTCGCCACATACGGGTATACCATATATATATATTCACACGTATCTTTATATACATAAATTTATCATGTATATGATGTTGCAATATTTTATTTACTTATAAAATACAGTAATTACGCGCCATATAATTATGCAAATGTTAATGTAATTACATTTTACCGCGTGTGTGTTATTACAAGTATTCGGCATTTTTTGGGTGGGGTCTCAGTGTGTATAATGGGGGAGCGTGAACGTGTGTGTATTTTTATGGATGTATGTGTGATTGTTTGGCTGTAAAATTAGCGTTGATAATTTAAATAAATATTATTTACAGTATGTTTAAGTCATTGCTAAAAGAAATAAGCGTCTAAAATTATATTTCGCAAAATTATTACGGAGAAAATTTTTAACGAAATTTTGGTTTAAAAGTATTTGTTAAAAAAGCATATAGAATGATCAACTTACAACAACAAAAGATAACTATTCACATAAATAAATTAATATAATTTAGTTTTATGTTATTTTATTAAACTTTGTTTATTTAATTTCTTAATTTTTATATCATTCTATTTTATTATTAAATTTTTTTTTTGAAATAATTAATTAAATTTTTTTTTTAAGTTTATTTTACTTTATTTTATTTTAAGTGGTTGTATACACTTGCGAATTTCAAGAAAATCTTTTTTTTATATATCTAATGTATAAATATACAAAAATATTTTCCGAAAATCCTTATTTGATGTGACAAATAGTTTCGGATATATGCCCGGATTTTTTTTAAAATTTTGAACTAATTGTAATCAGTTTTCGAAACTTTAAACGAGTTTCAGAGACGTTGAGTAAAATTTTTGCAAAACAGCTGGACCGATCGACTTGACATTTTCACATGAAATATTTTTTAGGTTATGATCGCGGAAATACGTTTTTGGATAACGATTTCAATTTTTTAAGCCGCTATGAAATTTAAATTTTTTCACAAAAGCCACTTTCATTTTGAGAAGCCGCCATTTTGTCAAATATCAACATTCAGACTAGCCCTTTGATCAGTACCTGTAATCATCCTTTCCAAATTATAATATTTCAAAATATACATGTATATCCAATAAATTTAATTTAGTTCAATTTATTTCAATTTGACTTAATTGATTTAATTCAAATTAATTTAATTTTTTTTTTCTATTTTAATTTATATTATTGTATTATAGTTTTTTTATTTTATTTTATTATATTGATTTAATAATTTTTTTTTTTGTTATTTTCAATTTTGTTTTATTAGGCAAATTGTTTTATTTTACTGTATTTAATTCTTTTATTTCATGATTTATTCTTTAAATTTATTTTTAAATTGTTTATATTCACTTATATTCAGTAATATAATTTTGTAATTATTAAATGTAATTTTATTTTAATTAATTTTTATATATTTTATTATTTTTTATATCGCTGACATATAAAATGAAATAGCAATTACTTTGAGTTAATTTAATTTAATTTAATTTATTTTAAATTTATGTAATTTAATTTCATTTTATTTAATTTTATTTTATTGCATATTATTTTATTGTATTTTATTTTATTATATTAAATTTATTTAATTTAATTTTGTTTTATTTTATTTTATTGTATTTTATTTTATTGTATTTTATTTTATTATTTTAAATTTATTTAATTTAATTTTTTTTTATTTTATTTTGTATTAATTTATTTTATTTTTTATTTTTTATTTCAATTTTTTGTTTGATTTTAATTTATTTTAAGCAAGCAAGCAAGTTTAAAACTTAGCAAAAAGCGGGACGTGGATGCAGATACCCTTTCTGAGACGACAGCTTTAATGAAGCTCAAGGCATTTTCTGCCCCTTTGGCCAAAAAATAAATTTTAATTCATTCAATTTATTTTAATTCAATTTAGTTTAATTTTTGTTATATATTATAATTTTTTTTATAATATTTTGTTATCTAAATTTTAAATTAATTTTTTAGTTGCTCTGTTAAAATTAATATTTCTTATTTATTTTTTAAATATTTAATATAATTGTATATTCATTATTAATTTTTTCCATTTTTTTTATATTGCCTTACGTTTTCGTTTCTCATTGATATTTTATTATTTAATTTTATTTCACATAGTTCAGTATTTAAATTAATTTAATCTAATTTATATAAAAATTAATATAGTTAAAAGTAATTTCCAAGCATAAAAAATAGTAAAATATGGAAGCATGTGGCAAATTGCACGATAATTACAAAACAGAAGAAAACATAGTATAAATAAATTAGTAAAAATATTATGAGCTGCCGAGTAATTATTGGTAAAAAAAAAAACCATTTATTTATACAGTTGATATATAAATTTATAAAAAGATTCAAATTATCTAATTTAAATTATTTGCCAAACATTTGCGTTATTAATGATTTGTTTTTAATTAAATATTAACGGCAACTAATTGCTGCTTTAATTTTTGTTCATTTCGGCATTAATTACTTTTTACCACGCGTATGCTTATATTTATGATTAATTTTTTATACAAATTTGTCTATGTTTATTTATTTATTTCATTTTATTTATTATAATTTTTTCATCTTTGGTTTCTTTGCTTTATCTATGTTCACATTCACTATTCTAATCTGCGTTTATTACAATTTCATGATTTATAATTTCATGTTGTTGCTGCTTTTTATGCATTTATGCACTTAATCAATGCAAATGTTTTGGAAAAGTTTCAAAAGTCCATTTTAATCAAAGTGAAATGATTTTTTCTATATTCACGCATTAACTTAGTTCAGTTTTCATATGCGTTGCCATGGGCCTAAGCAAAAAAACACACCACAGTTGCAATTTTCGCTTGATTTCATTTAGTATATCGCATTGGTTTTGCACTAAGCTTAGGTTTTGTTGTTTTTGTTGTTTGGTCTATAAGTATGCGTCGAAATTCACATGCAATTTGCGCTTTTCTGTTTTTTTTGTTGTTACAAAGTTGCTGGTATTTGCTTACAATTACAATTTTACCATTTCCTTTGTGTGTATGTGTGTTAATTACTTACAAACTAGGCGCAATATACAATAATACATTAATAATTATGAGCTTTGAAATACTCCAAATGTGCCGCCATCGCCGTTATTACACATATAAATAAATATAATATTTATTATTTTCACTTAATTTTTTTTTTTGTTTTTGTTAAAAAACTACTTTCTTTTTTACTTTTATTTGCGGTGACTTAAAATGCTATTTACAGTGTTTATTCAAATAAATTATCAATTTGTTGAGTAAAAACTATTTCAAAGTTCATTAAATTTGCGTTTACAAGCGGAAAATTCTCCTTTTTGCTACTTTTATCAATAAAACTTTAGTTGCTGGTGGTACGCTTTTTATCTAACTCCACACACACACACATACAATCATATATGTATGTTTGCATGTCTGTGCGGCGAGTACTTCGCTTTCATTTCACTAATATTTATATATATGTATATGCAAGTGGTGTTCTTTTAATCGTAAAAAGTCGTGTGCATGTGTGCGAGAATTGAAATTCACAATTCTATTTGAATAATCTCAGTGTTCTTAGCTCTACGGAATATGTATTATTTTAAAATTTAATTTATTTACAAGTTTCTACTATCTATTTTTTTTACTTAAATCAATACTCTGTATTTACAATTTATGTTCCTTACTTTTAGGCTTTTCAGACCGATGCTTAATTGAGTCAGTTAGCAAATTTTATGTTATGCCTCTTAGTGTAGACATTTAAGTAATTGACTAAATTAAGTAACATGTCTGAAATGCCTCGTTATCGCATGCTTTAAAAATTAAATTAGTTTTAATCAATTGATAATTACGTACAGAAATCAGCATACGGTTTAATTTTGCAAGATTGTGGCAGGCATATTGAAAAAAGCCTGTTTTAGTTTGTTACTGTTTTTAATGCTGAAGACTTAAAAGATTTTCAGATTCCTTTCTTCCAGGAAAACACTTTGATCCAGCACTGGTGTAGATTTTGTGCTCTCTATGCATAAGTTCTGATTTTTGGCTACGAGTTAGTATGTAACTAGAATATAGATGATTCCTCGTTATATTCCAGAGCTTCTTTAATAATTATGGCGGTGAAAATTTAGGCATCGAATTTAGGAAAGAAGACGACACCCTCTTCAAATAACTTATTTTATTATTCCCGAAAAATTTTGGATAAATGTGTTATATATAACCAGTTAGCACGAGAGCTCTACGTTTCCTTACATCACCCTATTTCTCCTAATTCTACTAACTTTTCAAATCTCTTTAAACGGACCATTTCCATTGTTAGAAAAACGACGTAATCTCATTAATAAAAAACTGAGAATTTTTAATAAAAAATTCGAGCGCTATTTTATTAAGTATCTCTCAAAGTCATGCCTGTATTTGGGGTTCTTGTGAATATTTTCGCTCACGACGACTCAAATCACTTTACTTGAAGCATTATAACTGGCCTAAGTGAGAAATTAAGACTTCGAGCGATTTTAGTGTGTTTTACATATTTAAGCTTATGACAACTGTTCTCAAGAGCTGAAGAATCATTGGGATAAGTATTTGACCGATAAAAAAAATTATGCTGCTTCGTTGAATAACTTTACAGAAAATAGTCTACTTATTCTTTAAACTATGATGCATTAATATTAAAGGCTTCCTTTTGATTGAAATATACTTGCCTGTTTATTGGAACTCTATTTTCTGTGCTGTTAGTACTTCGGTAGGCATTAGTTTGCCTGCCTTTTAATAAGAAGGTCATCAAAATATATTCTGCACCACCAAAATTTGCCTGCTCTTGTCATCTTCTGCCACAAACTGAGTAAAAAATCATATATGCCATTTCCATATAATTTTATATACAGATAGACATAAAAATTGTAGCCCTTAAATATACACAGTTTGCTTAGGGTCTATAAGAATTTGAGATAGCATGTCTAATTAAGTCAATTAAATGCCTCATCAAACTCATACTCACTGACATTATGTTTTATGTAAATATACATGATATTTCGTTAATTAAATGATAAAAACCGCTAGCCAATAGATAAGTTCTTTTTGCCATAAAGTACCAGTCGACTTAAACTACACTTTACCTCCTGCGATTGGTTTTCTCAACTTTCGCAAAAAATAGTCATTGAACAAATGAACTAAAGAGCGTTTGACTCGCAAGGATAACGTAATTGGGGTTTTAAATTTAATATTTTTCTGCTGATACTTTCAATCATTTGCGGTTTTTCTGCTTATCGCAGTAAATTTGTTTTCTTACTTTATCTTAATCTACAATTTCCACGATTTTGGTATCTTTTTTACTTAATTTGTTTTTTTGTTTTAACTTGACCCTTGCTTATCATTTAAATTGAAAATAAATAATCAACAAAAGCATCGAATTACATTTCTTATTTTAAATTAATTTGCCGCCCACGAAGCTGCACACACTCATTAAGACGCGCGTTCGTTTCGCTCGCTTATCCCACGTTGGCGCAAACTTGTCGCTGATGTCTGCGCTGCAGCAGGCAACTCGCCGCGATGGCAAAGAGCGCACACCATACCATGGTTCGGTTGTGCGCGAGCGTTTGCAATTGCGTGCTGCCCGTGGCGGCGGAATTACTACGCGACTTGGAGCTGGCCACCACTTCAGCGTCCTCTGGCGGTATGTCCATGGTATTGCTGGCGACGATAAATTGAAAGATATCGCTGACCTGCAATCACAAACGAAAAAGAGTAATGAAGCAAATGGACCACGCGTGAGTAAGACTGAAATAATTAAGCGCTGCTTTATAAGAAGCGGAGTGAAGTGAATTGTGCGGAAAAGATTCCCACAACGAGTTTGAAAAGACCAACGCCATATATGCTACGCTATGGCACGGCATGGCGTCTGAGATTTGTTGCGTCACGAGTCGAAGGCGATGCGTACTGGCGCAGGTCGAAAGATTGAGATAAAGTGTTTGAGTGAAGTTTACGATGTGCGTAAATAAAATTTATGCTTTATTAGCAGTTGCATTGCGGTAAGGCAACCGACGGGAGGGTGGCATCTCTGATGAAGAAGCACAGTTAAAGAAATTGTGAGAGGGATATGAGTCGTCGCCGGCAGCTGAGTACGAGTACTTTACTCTTTAGTGCATATAAAGTTATTTATTTGTACTCTGCATACATATCTACTTGTATGTATATAATATATAAAGTATGTTTGTAAATATGTTCGACTCACCTCATTCCAACCGTAGCTATTTTTCGCCTGCACTATCGCCTCATAGTAAGCGCCAGGATGTAGATTCTTTATGGTGTATGACATGATGTGTGTAAGTGGCTCCGATGCGGGACGATGTTCAGGTGTCAGTATGAAGTCATGCCATCTTCCCGGTTGCTGGAATGTGTCATTCATCTACAATGAATTGAGAGATAAAATGAGAAATCTTATAATATATCTACAAGTGAGTGGAGGTAAGTTAAAATTTTATTTATTATTCGTAAAAGATGGTTTACCATAAATTCATACACATTAGGGTTGTCCTTAAAAATGTAACATTTTTTTAGATTTAGTAAGGTAACGGATTTCACATGTGTTATTGAATATATTTTTGTTCTGACTGAAGACGGTTAAAACTTGTCGTTTGGGGCTTAAGTTGAACTTACTTTAACCATTCAATAGCAACTGAAATATATAGGTTATGTAGGTTATGTCTTAGTTGAAAGCTTTAAGTGTTTGCCAAGAAACCTCTAAGTTATCGCTCTGTTACAGCTTTAATCCTTTTTAATATGTATAAATATGCTTACGCCATATCATGTTCACAATACTATAAGAAGGGTTTGAAGTTTATCAAGTGAAGTGTGTGTATTTTCTATCCAGATTAATAACCAGCCCTGGCATCTCCAATGTGTGGTACGTTCATACCACAAAAGCTTATACTACTGTAAAACAAATGAGCTGACCCTGACGATATCGTATGATTTCGAAATACACTTGGGCGTTACAAATTGAGATTTATGAACCAAGCAGTCTTCTTCTGAAAAGCCGAGCTAATTTCTTTTGCACCGGAATTAGATACAAAAGTACTTCAAATTATTCGTTTATAAGAAAAGAAGCCTATGCAAATGGCACTCTATAACTTGTTATGTAATTTTGACTTGGGCCATTTAAGTGCGAAAATTTGTTCCGCTTTTTCGAAGTCAGTGCCTATTGAAGACTTCCAGTGAAGGTCTCTTCTCAAGTTGGTCTTTCTAATGTAGAGACACCAGATTTTGCCGCACTAAATACTTTCAAAGCTGTAGGTTATTTAGACATTTTAAAGGAATAACTTAGCTACTTTTTGATTGGGGCCTTCGTTCTAAATTTATGCCTTAATACTTTTCTTATATTTGTTGCGTCCTTTTATGAGTTTTCACCACAGTTTTTTGCAGTAGTTCAAAAATCTGCCGAAAAAACTTTATCTCGAATATTTCATTGGAGGTACGTGTTTAAATTTAGGTGTATCACCAAGTCCAGAGAGGACTTCATTTTTGAAGTTCTTGAAAGTAATTTTTGCTACGGAAAGAAGATTCTTCTAGCTATTGCTGTGACTTTTTATCTAGTTTCTTCCATATTTCTATATGTTATTAACCATTACCAAAGCAATTGCTAGGGTTGAGACTGTGTATAAAAGATTAACATGATCTGTTTAAAAGAAATAACAATGTTTTCGATAATAACTATGAGGGCTCTAGTAGTTTACAATCACTTCAAAATGTTTTTGAATTTTCATGGAGAAATAGCTGCTTTTTATTAGGTTAAGTTGAATGGTTGTTTGACAAGAGAGGTCATGAGCACACATTACTGCAAGTGGCCGTTCTGAAGCTATCATTTTGTTCATTGTTCATAGTTAAGTTGCTATATGTAGCTGTCTTTTATAAGCTTATTCTTTTAAAAAGTGTTACCAAATGGGTTAATAACTAATTTCTAAACGTTATGCAAATCGTTGGGAATTCTCTATGAGATCATACAAATCATGCATTCATAATTAGACAGAAAACCTTTGGTGAGCTAATGTAGTACGTTCTGAAGAAGCTTAACCTCAATTTTATGCAATAGAGGAGATCATAACATGAGTATGTTCAATTTAACATGCCATCCTCCAAACCAGCTGGTAGAGTGCGTATTGTGTTGAAACAAAGATGCACTGTGTGCGCTTCAGGGATAATAAGCTGTAAATCACCCTGCTGAGTTCCACATTTTCAAAAATTTACGGAATTTTCTGAGGTATGAATATTTTTAATTTCATCTTTAATGGGGCTTTTATTCTGCTAATTTTGCTCTCAAACAAAAAAAAAAAATGTGGTAATTGAATTTAAGAAAAGTAAACAGCACTTGATTTATTTGTATTACTGGCGACCTTAACAGCTATTTGGTAGCCGCAGTACATAAAAAAAATTTGTAATTAATATTACAGTAGTGAAAAACATTTTTTTTAATAATATTTATTTTGTTCGCTGGCGCATAAAGTCCTCGGGCGGCTGTCAACGATGAAATAAAAACAACACACACACCGTCACGCTGCCCTGAATAATTGTCGAGCATTAATGAAGTATGTGATTAAAATTGTATTAAAACAGCGCCTGTGAGCTTAAATACAAACCAACACATGCAAAAAAAAAATTCACACGAGTCAGCAATATCTCAGCATTGCTGCAACAAAACAAATGAGATTTTACGCAATCGGCGAAATTTGCAAGCGTTCCTTGCATGTGTGTGTGTGTGTGAGTGCCTGTGTGTCGCAGAAGCACCTGTGTGTGTGCGTATACCGGTGAAAATTGCACTTAATTATGAAAAAAAAAAAATATGAGACACATACAAGTATGTAGGATATTTGTGCCAACGGTGTATGTTTGTTTTTTGTGTTTTTGCACACGGCAATATGAAAATTAATAACGAAATGTAAAAGAAATTAATGAGATTTTCTTTTCAAAAGGTGTGTCAGCACACATATAATATTGTTTGTGGCAAGCTGTATAGCCCTACAAACCTATATACTCGTTCGTATATATAAATATGTGTATGTATAAATATCTATATACATACATATATACACATGTGTATGTCAATGTGTGCATAATTGGAAAAGCGTAAATGAGTCGTAGTGTAATTACAAAAGCTTATATGTGTATGCTTGTGTGTGCGTTTATATTAAAATTTGCTTTAAATATCCACCGTATCAATAGAAACTGCACCCACACACACACATAAAATTGCAACACCTTGTAAGTGCATGCTCGTTAATAGTTCGCTTTGCATTGCAAAATTGTAAATCTTCCAGCAGCTTCTACTGCCTCACTTTCTGCTCATTAGTTGCTAGTATTGGTGGTTTCTTCAATTATAAAACTGTTAGCCATCAATACATTTCTCTCAATTAACGGTTTTTTAGTACCGTGTAAAGCACTTGAAATCTGCGACTTCATTAGTTTATGCAAAATCTAACGGTTCATCACCTTCTTAATATCGGTTAAAATATTATCAATTTCTTTGCGATTTTAATGAGACTTCATTAATGATTTTCATGCAATGCAATTACATAAGTGAAATATTGTTTTTAATTAATCTACTTGCAGTGTGTCAAAGCGATTTTGCATAAATCTGTCACAAATCTTTAACGGTACTTAACAACGCTTAACAGGGCACTAATTTATGCAGTTGCTGGGGAGAAAATGTTTCGGTACTTGTTAATTGTATAATTAAAGCTTAATTATGCTTAATTAATACGATTCATTTTACATTTCCATTCAATTATAGAATAATTACTATTGCTCGTTAGGTCAAATATGAAAGAAATCTGATAGAAAGAGTCACTTGACGTAATGAAGTTTCGAAAGCATTTGAATTTTTAAAATATAATTGCCAGTTAACTTAATTTAAGGACTGTCTTAAATATCTATCCGATCTTCAAGCTAGTTAAGGGTAAAGTACCATTGGATCATATTTGACTCGGACTCGTGCATTTAAACTGCGCACGCAAACCAAATGTGCTGTGCCTTTGGTAGCTGCTTGTATACGACGCAAAAAGTTGGTCTGGCGATTTTTACCACTGAAAAACCAAAGCACCTCGAGTTTGCTGACAATTTTGTGTTTCCAATGGAATCACGGTGACTTGTACCAAAAGACCTGAATCTATGCCAAAAACCGCATCGAGTTGACGTCGCAAAAGAAATGTTTGATAACGCAGCTTAGATTCCAACATTTAGCACAAGCATAATACCTGGTGAAAAGATTTGTGTTTGTGAAAACGACGTTGGTAGGTTAATAAAAAGTGTATGTGAAATTTGAGTAATGTGTGGCATGCTTGTATTAACCCAAAATGAGCTAATTTTGAGGGTGATAATGCAGATTTGTTAAAAAATACGTGGAATCTATGTTTATTTTGTCAATCCGGGTCATATGGTAGGTACAACAAATGTGAAAAGAAGTTGGACAAATTGGTGGTTCCGCATTAAACTAACGATATTAATTCAGGCGACTCATTGTATTATGTGAAATAATGATTCAGATTTTATCCTTATGTAGAAACAACCTTTAACAATGTTCTTACAATTAATTTCTTTAATAAAACAACTTTTTCTAACCTTCTGTCAATAATTTGTTTTTTTCTGAAGTTAAATTAAAAATTTGTTTTGAACTACAGCTTTGATCAAAAACGTCAGGAGCATCATATAAATATTAATTTAGAAATAAAATCTATTACTCGCAATATAGAAAAGAAGTTTTATTCATATAATTATTTAATTAAGTTTGTTAATTATAATGAAAATTTCTAAAAAGAAAAGGAAAGTGAGTTTGAGTAAGTTTTGGTAATCAGTACTCGGATTTTATTATTCTTAGTTTATAGAATTTTCATGTAAATCATAAATTAAAAATATTTTAAAATATTATTTATTCTTTTTATTATTTTTTTATTATATTATATATATGTATAAAACAGCTGACAACCCTACTCCTTATTAAATCAAACCGAATGACTTTTAATGTAAAAAGTAAATGAAGAAAAATTAAATCGGTGGAAAATCTTTAAAAAAAATTGTTCATTTCTTGTAATGTCTTCGAAATTTCCGCAAATTATTTTTTCTCAATTTAAGTGAATTAACAATGCTTTTGATTTTTTTATTTATGGCAAAGACTAACAATTGTTCTGGTGTACCTAACATGCAACATGAACACCTGAAATCTGATCCACTTTTTTTTAGTTTTAGTTTAGTTTTGGCCCTTTCGACAGGTGGCAATGCTTTCTCAAAAAATATTCAAACTAAAACCATCCCAAATTTAGCGACTGAAATTCCCTACGATTTGCAATCGTTTTGAAGTTTTTAGCGCAGTTACAATTTTTACCTATCTGGCAATACTTTTTTTAAATTTTGTCTAAATGAAATCAGCTATGAAAGTGCTATTTAATATTCGTGTTTTTCTCAGATACCATTTTTAGACCTTTAGAATCTTTCGCGGAAATTGGTACAGTCACCCACGAACTTTACGTACAGGATAATCGTTGCATAATTTGCATGTCAATATGAATAAAAGTACATTTTTAAGTGATATAAAAGCGTCTGTTTCAAATTGGGGTTTGGGGTTTCTTTATTCACGTGCGAACTTAACCTAAATTTTTACTCGAACAAATATTTTTACGATCCTCAATTGCAGTGCAAATATATTTCTATTAAATACAATTTTTTGGCAAAAATAAATACATTTGTTCAACAAATACCGTAACCCATTTAATTACTACCATAAATCTGCATAATAAATAAACACTCAAAACAAGCTTACGGTTAGGAGAACTACACACTCTTATACACACATATACATACATAGATACATATGCATTTAAGCGCCGTGCCGGCTTAGCCCGAGGTAAAACTAAGCTCTGCCATAAAACGCCATAAAAATGAAATCGAAAAATAACTGTACTGTGGTTAAGCGCAATATTTACTTTAACAAAAGCATAACGGAACAAATTACATAAGAAAAGACAGAAAAAACATCGATTGAAATAAAATCGCGAAACTAGAAATATATTTCAAACGTTCGCCATTTTTCGATTTTCCAATATTTCTGTGTATTTTCGCTTTTACTTTGGTGGCTTTTTTTTTCGTTTTTGCATCGAACCAATAAAATATTGAGAAATAAATGGGTCAACGGCGTCGCTGTCAATGCTTTCGGTTTTGGCGAATTGCAGCTGCAATATTTGCAATTTACAGTTACCCATTTAAAATGGTTGCGAGAGTGTATGTGTATTTATACTCGCATACTAGTCACTTTCCTTTATCTCTACACGGAATTTATTTATTTGCAGTAAAAATTTACACTCACACACACACACACACTTGCGAATATTGCAACAATTTCACTTTAGTTGCACTCTTCTATGCTGACCATTTCGCGTTTGTTAACTTTTTGTTAGCTGTCTCATGTTTTATTTTACATTTTTCACCTTTTCATGATTCGGGTTTTAGCTAGTTTCGTTTACTCAACGTTTAATTCATATACAAATACACATAAATGTACACAGATACTCACCAATACACGCCTATAGAGCAGACGGACCTCCTGCAATGGCGGATAGCTATCTATTTTCCATGTCAGATTGTAGCTGTCCGACGAGCGACCCCATTTCGGTGAGTAGAATTCAGCTGGGCCCGGGCGCCCAGACAGCTCCATGTACTTGCGCGAGCGTCCGAGTGAGTTATCGGCTACACAGCTGCAATGTAATTGGTATTTATTATTTATTTGTTATTTGTTATTGTTGTGAATGTTGAGTGGATTAAAAGTAAAAAATAAAACGATGCGATGAGGGGAAAAATTAAGCACAACGCAAACAACAACTAACTAATGTAAATAAATTTCAAGTATATACGTATGTACTACATAGACGTACATATATACATGCTTCTTTGAAACAAAGTATTTTATTTCCAAAGAAAATTTTTTATATTTATTTTTACATTTCGACACAGGTTTGCCCTTATTATACATTGCACAGGGTATATTAGGTTCGCACAAAGTTCTTAACATCCAGAAGGAAACGTCGGAGACCCTATAATATAATATATAAATGTTCGGCGTGAAGAGCTGAGTCGATATAGCCATGTCCGTCTGACTTTTCGTCTGTTCGTCTGCATATACGCGAACAAGTCCTTAGTTTTTGAGATATCGTTCTGAAATTTTGAATACCTTCTTTTCTCCTCAAAAAGCTGCTCATTTGTCAGAACAGCCGATATTGAACCACTATAGAATATAACCACCATACAGACTGAACAATCGACTGAACAAACGAAATCAAGTACTTGTATGGGAAACTTTTTTATTTGACGAGATATCTTTACGAAATTTGGCAAGGCTTATTGCCCAAGACAAAGTTCTTATGTCCGAAAAAATTAGTTAATTCAGATCACTATAGCATATAGCTGCCATACAAACTGATTGATCAAATTGAAGTTTTTGTATGGAAACATTTTTATTTGTAAGGGGTATTAAAGCTTTGGTGAAACGCAGTTAACGGGTTTTCTTCTTTTTTAACTGTCATCCTAATTAATGTTTTGGGAACAGTAATGGCAGTGTCAGGTGTGTGTGTAAATTCCGAAAATGTGCTTTAATTTCCTTTTACATATTTGCACGTGGAAAAGGGTCACCAATTGCCTTAATAAATTACGGCTGGAAAATTGTTTTTGACCACATTAAAGTTGTTGGCCTTTATTGTATATTGCCTGAGGTCTTTGCGGGTAAACAAAAGCAGAGATAAAATAAACTTAATACATTTTTAACAAATCTGTACTACACTTTGCGTAAACAAGTTTTTCTTTTATGCATCTAAAGTTTCGAAGCGTGAGTGTTGATTTTGAGGTTATATATTTTTATTAACAACTTTGAGTAGAAAACAGCACTGGCTTTGATTTTTGTGCGTTTTTCTCAAAATTTTGTTTTATGACAGCCGTCGCATACTCTTCTGACATGATTCGGACAACACTTTACCCTAACCTTGGTCGAAAGAAGTAAGGAAACTGTAGCCACTAAATATAGAAAGGCACTGAGGTAGTTCTTAAAAGAATTAAGCATACATTTTTTTAATTTACCTTCTTACGCACGTAAAGCATATACATATGTTTTTTAATGGTCTCAACTTCATCTCAAGAAGATATGTCAATAGATATTTTTTAATATATATATTTTATTTTATATTAATTATTTAATAGATATATTTTATTTTAATTAGAGACACGACTTACTCCTTTGCTAAGTTTCTTTATTCCAAAATTAAAGAAAATTTAAACTGAAAGAGCTATCAAGTTACAATTAAAGGCTCCTTGAAAAATTTAGCACCATATACTATTATCGCTGTCTACAAAAGACATTTTTTGTTCGCAAAAAGCTTTTAATAAAAATAAAAAAAACTCTCGGCTTTTATCCGTTATTTAACAATTCCTCTTAATGATTTACATAGTTTTACTGATTTTGAATCACCTTTATAATATTACCATTCATATTAACGTTCATCTAAGGTCAAGCTCTTGGAATGTTATGATTATGCAAAGAGGCATTCGAGGAGGACCAATATACGAGAACTTTTATTGGAGATTAGAGTGAACACCATTTGAGTACCCAGCGTTATAGGGACCAAAAAAGGCAATGACTTGGGTCGCTCTGGCGCGGTCGAAACTGCATTCATCTGTTTAGTTGATTCAAGAGTTACTTGGTAAGACAGTTTTAACAATCCATAATGTTTTTTTTTTTTTATAAAAGAAGGAACTCAATAATCTGTAGCCTTATATCGCAGATTTCATCTTCAGAAACTTGGTAAAGTGGAGTTTGCGCTGAGAATGTTAAAATATTATGGTATTACTGTAGTGTTTTGCTGGTAGAGAAAGATAAGTTTCACTCGAAAAGAAATTGCGCAGCGGGAGTTGAAAAGCTCAGCATTTTTTTCACATTCAACAAAATTTTTGAATGGTGAGGAGCACATTGCACGTGATGAGATTTGGAATATAATATTTTTTGATAAATTTGGTTGCCGAAGAAAGCTTAGCCTTTCCCTTAAAGAACTTTTTCAAGGAATATAGGTCGAAAGTTAAGATTTAATACCACCTTCTCTATTTGGATACTTGTTTTTGTAGTTGTAAGTTTTGACAGCCATGATAGTGATTTTTATTTAATTTAAAGTAACTGGTGCTTAGCTTAACTAGTCGAGAAAATGTTTTTTGAACCAAATATTGATTATATATTGTATTTCTTGTATTGAGATTTTATTGATTTTCAAAATTTCTTTCACAATTGATATTGAAGTGTTGTCTTGATATTTAACTGCATAGCGCAATTTTTTCCCACTTTTGCATATCCTGTGTGCAATTAATCTTGGCATAATGCTAATATACATATATTGTCCTTAAAAAAAAATTACTGTTAACAGAAAATAATACCATGTTCCATCAACCAGCATATTCTTTATATACTTTTACGAATAACTATGCGAAATGAAAGACTGCTCATTCTCAAATTTAAACTTAAAAAAAAACTTTATTTGTATATTGGTATATCATTTTTTATTCAAAAATATATTTTGAAATGATTGCCACTATATGTTACGTTTAGACGGTTGTATACAGTATAAAAAATGCTGGGTTGTGCGGCTAGATGGCGCCACTGGCTATCCAATGACTTGATTAGCTTAATTGCTGCTCCATATGCATATGTACATATATTCCAAAATTGGCAACAACTATTATTGTGAGGCAATATTTCCACACTTCAATATTCTTTAATCTTTTCTGGACGATTCTAATCTTTATCGGTATACAAAATACGCCTATATAATTATGTATGGTATATAATATATGGATATCAATATCCTTACAAACTTTTAAAACTTTGCAATATATAAGTTCATATGTGCACACATTTAGTTCATAATTAATTTATCGCTTTCCTCATAGACTTATCGACCCGCAGTTGACTCCAGTGAGAAGTACTTTTACCTTAACTTTACACATTCACAACTAAAAACTAATTTCATGGCGAAAATGTAATTTCCTTTTCGATTTGGTACAGAGAGTCACAGTAGACGCCACACAGCACTGTCCCCGCCTTCAGACCCCCTTATATACGAGAGCAGTCAAATCACAGACAAGATATAACGGACAACACCTGCTAACATGCGCACAGGTACACATATGTAAGGAATTAGGCATATATGCATACATATATATATATATATAAACATATGTATGTGTAATATATGTGTATATATATAACCACACACACACCCTGTATATGTCAATCAGCGCATTGGCGAGTCAGAGATTTAACTTGAACTTCACATCACTTCACTAATCTGGGTGCCGTCGCTGTCGTTCTGGTCTAACTTTCATGCGAAATGCTCAGCAACAGCCACGACGGCAACTTTCGTTGGACTTTCAACTTTGCTGCTTCATTGTTCGTCACATTTGTGTGTTTCTTTTCCATTATTTTTACCACTTTTTTCTCCTCGATTTTGTCTTTCGTTATTATACTTTTGAAGCAGACAGTTTGACATTGATGTGAAAAAGTTGCTGCCCACACATGCATGACAGGAACACGCACATATACACACCAACATACGTGTAAACATACATATCTATATGCGAATACACGCAAGCGGTGTCACCTGGCGGCATTGACTTGCGCTGACGTGCGGCAAGTATGAGTGGCAAGTAACTGGAAATTCATATGACAGTATCCCTGATTTGGCTGCGAAAACTTTGTCCTCCTGTTTGGTGGACAAAGGCGGGCAGAACACACTAACAACAAAAAGCACCACAAGCAAGTATTAACTCGATTGACTAAATCAGCGCCGATAGCGGTAACAAGCAAATAAGCGGGCGGGCCAAAGCATGAGCAATGATTTGCTGCAAAGCAGAGAGACAGCGCTGCACTTCCAGCGCCAGTGGCTACATTTTAGTTGTTTTACTTTCTACTCTTTACCCGCCTTTATATGTTGAGTCAATCTGTTATCACAAGTCTGGCTTTATATCACTCGCTCTTCGCATCAATATATTTTTTTTTATGATTTTCTTTATTGCAGTTGCTGTGTGTTCGGCGTCTTCTTTCCGCTCTCACTTCTTTTATTTACTTTTTCATTTATTTATACGAATTTGTTCAACTCATCACTCACCTGTAGTTGCCAAAGTCCTCCTGTTGTATGTGTCGTATGGTGAGCGTATGTCGGTTGCCTCTTGTTGACATAATTCGCCTATCGGTCGTTTGTATCGGAAATGAGTTTTGGTACCAAGACACCTGCAAGCGAGGAAAAGTCACAAAAGAGTGAGTTTAGGAGAAATGTTCAAGAACTGTTAGTTTATATATATGGTTATAGTAAAAATTAGGTTCGAAGAGAGGGCGGTAAAAATAATAAAAGTGAGTATATTATAATAGTACAGACTGGCTTGAATTACGCATATAATATTATATTATATTATATTAAAGGAAAAAATTAAGTTTATAACAGTTATTTAAAAAGATTTACAATCTTTAAGAATATATTATGTCAACGGCAAAAAAGTTAGTACTTTTTTAGTAGTCTGCATACGAGAAATATTTGGAAAAAAATTTCTGTGAGAATTTCGGCCCCAACCTGTCAAGTCACACTATACCTATTCACACACGCGTACATATATAAATCGCTCTTGGTGTGCTGAAGCAAAACAGACTAATGATATTAAGCTCGTAAAGGTAATTGACGTGTAAAGAAGAAGTTTTAATGGAAAACTGTTGAATATACAAAAACAAACAAACTTCAAAAACGTGGTTTTATTTGAAAACTTGAACTCTTAGCAAAGATAAGTATATGCTCAAAAATACATATTTAATGAATGATAGCATGAACTGAATATATAGGAAAGGCGTTTAATAGAATTTTACTTAGCAGGTAATGAAGTGTGGATGCTTTTGGAATAAAAAATTGCATATGTATTGTATTTTGTTGTCATCGTTGTTGTACGTATCTAAATTATTACTGAAGGTAGGAAGTTTAGTGAGTTTATCTAACTGGAGATTCAAAAGTAACAAGATGTTTGCCAAAGGTTAGATAGAAGGGATGAGGGTTTTAGATAAATAGAAGTGTGGGTATTAGCAATGAGAGAAGAGACATATGGCTTTGGAGTTAAATAGAATATAAGACTCAATACATATGAGAACAAATAAATTAATCAAACATGAAAAGTAGATGAAATGCAGAAGTTTTGTTGAGAGTAGGTTGGGTTGGGTTTGATTTCTGATACAAGGATCGCACTTGGCACTTTATGCCATTTTTTGTGAAGCAATAGCAATATATAACTCCTATATCCGATCTTACAAGTCGGTAAAGCGATAGAAATTCGCTTAGGCATTTAATTTCTATTCCCATCAGCTCGGTGGAATATCTAAAATGTGAGCTTTTGAATGTTTAAGACAATCAAGAAACAAGTGTTGAGATGTTTCCACCTCGTCATATTCCAAACAGCTTTTGTAGCTGGCATCCGGAGAGATTTTTAACCTTATAGCGTGAACGCCGTTTAAGCAATGACCTCTCTCTAAGGATCTCTTACGATCAGTCTTGAGTTAAAAGAATCTCGCGACAACGCGTGAACTGATTGTAGCACACGGCTGGCTAAGTTGCCGCGAAACAGAGCTATCCAGTAATAGAAACACTAATAGAGTAGTGCAACCGACCCGTTCCCATTCTACTGATTGCTGGCTATGATGGTTTTTCTTCCTTTCGCTGTGGCCTGCACCCTTACTAGTCTTATGTCATCGATAACAAGATTAGACATTTCTTAACCGGTCTTGAATGCACGGTAAATGAGCTCAAAGCTTATATCGCCGCTCTGCTATCAGTGTGAATAGTTACTCTTCTGAAGGAGAGTGCACTCGGGAGCATTAATATCGGCTTAAAAAACAATACAATAGTCAGGAAGTCTGAAACTGAAAAGAGAGTTCCTGACAATATAATATTATGATTACTTACTGCCTCTTATTTTGAGATTTTGTATAGTCATTTAAATTAGTATATCATTGGTTAGGGAGAAAATATAGTAATAATCTAGCTTTTAATTAAATTCGAAAATTTCCTTTAAATATTCACCTCATATTATACAGATATTATATATACAATATGTATTAATAGGTGCTCCATGGCGTATGAGTAACATGTGAGTTTATTTTAAAGGGCCGAGTCTTGATGAGCAAATGCGATTCATAACGCTAATATATGTAAACAATAGAAGACATTTATTTTATTTAACTATTATATTTGTATATCAAAAAAATTGTTGCTTGAAGTAGAGTTTGAAATAAGTTCCACTTCAAGAAGCGAAAGTCTGGCTAAAGTGGTAAAAAAAGCTCAAAATTTTGTAAGAGATTTCGTTAATCGATTTGCCATGTGTATTTTAACAGAATGTGCAAATCAATTTCATAAGTCTATATAGTTTAAAAGACTTTTTATTTAACTTACATAATGGCAATTAATTTAATAAATGAGGAACAATATTTAAAGTTATATTAGCCTAATTTGATGCGATATGCAAAAAAAAAATTTCACTGCGTATGAGTAATATTTAAAAAATGTATTTTAAACAGTTTTAAATATGATAAAAAATCGTAATGAAATAAAAGTACACAATAATGCTCATAACTAACCGTGGCCACCGGATCAGCGTAGACAATGCACACCAGTTTTGCTTCGAAGCCTTCGCCAGAATGTATCCATGACTTCTCCACTTGTATGTCCGGTGGATCTGCGAGAAAAATCCAAAACAATATAATATTAAGTACTTACACATTAAAGCAGAACTAATTTAATTGGCTACGTAATGAAAGAAATATAATAATAGTCAAATTATCTGCGCCAAACCAAGCGGCAAGCACGCGCACTATACAGTTATATAGCCGTATTACTCGTAAAAAGGCGTAATAAGAAGACGTAAGAAATCATTTATCTGCACACGAGAGACTCGTTAAGTGTGGAAATTGCAACGTGCACTTGCAAAATATTTTTATTACAATAAAAAGTTGTTATATTTTCAGAATTTCTTATAATATGAAGCACTGCATACAATTGCCGTTGTAACGGTGTAAAAAAGCGAAAAAGCGGTATCAAGAAAGTTAGCTAGTATTATGCAGGAAAATACGTACTGTTTGCATGCGAGAATTCATAAAATTTCCAACTGATTTATCAAATATAAGTTTCCACTTTTCAATTTGAATGAGGTATGCAGCACAACGAATTGTTCGGCGGAATAAATGAAAGCGAAGCAATGAGCGCGATATGTGCCGTTGAAGGGCAAAGTGAATGCACACACACACATACATATACATTTACGTTTACATTTCTCATTTTATGTGTAATATATATTTTTACAAGCCTTTATGGTTCGTTTTGTTGGTTTTTTTTTTGTTGGCCCTCCAGCCAACTCAGCTCACAAGCGACCTGCTGGCTTTTTACCATTTTCGTGTGCGCTTTGGTGTTTTTTGCACTTTACGAAAAGTTATTTGCATATCGCACACAATGCTGCCACTTAAAATTTTTAGCTATTTCGGCGCTCGCACTCAACGGCGAGTTCTTTGCCCACGTCACAACATATTCTTGGAAGAACATTTTCATGCCATTGAAGTCTAAATTCTTGTGCGTGGGAAAAAGAATAAAGCATATACATACAAACACATATGTGTTTTTTATGCGTATTCATCGACTCTGTTTTCTTCTTCTTCCCCTTAGCACCTTTTACCGTTGCCTTAAGCCATTTGTACATTTATCTTTCGAAGCGCATAATCATTCCCGAAAGTCGCAGTGGTTGTAGCACACATCGCGAAAAAAAGCAACACAACAAAAAATGAATTTTTGAAAGTCTCAACGCGCTTTTGATGAATGGAAAAATGTCGGTAACGAAATGGAGTGAAGACGACGAACTTAACTGCGAACATAACTAAATCGAATTGTGGCAGTGGATTTGGTTGCTTGTTGCTAGCAGTAGATTTTTTTTAAATTATTTCTCTTTATGGCTTACGAAATTTTTTTTAAAAGTATGCGCAAAAGACAGTTATTGTACTACAACGAAGCAGTTTTTTTAAGTTCCATGTGCTACTTTTGAGATAATTAAGAAACTGAGGGATTTCTTTAAGCGCTTTAGGGAGTTTCTTTAATGTAGCTAGCAAAGTTTGGACGTTTAATTTGGAAAATCCTGTGGACGTTTCCGAGACTGACGGTTCCATGCAACCGCAGAGAAGTCAGCTTGATAACCAATCAAGAACAACCAACTCATCAGTTAGCTTAAACGATTTCTTTTAAATTTTGCTATTTGTAATAGATCCCATAAGCCATATAGTGGACCAAGTTTCGAGCAGGTAATGAAACATCGTAAAAAACAACAGCGATAAATTTAAAATATTATAATTTGGCAGACTTGAAACTTAATTCTCAAATTCCATAAAAAAAGTGACAAGATGAAGAGTCTTTAAGAGCTGCTGTTTGACTATAAGAGCAAAAGTATATCAAATTCACAACAGGCACTTCCAAATATTTCATATAAATCGCATCGATTCGAAAAAAGCTCTGTGAAAAGCCCTCCAAATCGATAAAACTTGAAAGATCTCTTTTAGATTTGGACAATAGCAATATGATTAGCATTCACAGAATTTTCACCAAAAGTTTAGAATCGCTTAAACAATATCCGCCATCAGCCAAATGGCTGATACATATGTACTTTTTATACCCTGAACAGGGTAAATTAAGTTTGCCACGATGTTTGTAACACCCAAAAAAAAATGATTTAGACATGTCTTTTAAGTCAGTTTAAATTTTATTTGATTTAACTTGAACACAGAAACACTTTAATCAAACTTATTTACGAATATCTACTTTTGCACATATAAATTGTAGTTTCCTTTGTACTCTCAACCATTAAAAAAAATGTATTTTAACACATCCTATATTTCCACTTGAATACCTAACTTAATATGTAATTGGAAGGCAAATTACTGAAATTCACTTACATAAAACATCCAAGCGCATATCGACTGTAACCGGTTCACCGACTCCATTGTCTGCGGTGCATTGATATACTCCAGCCTGTTGACGCTCCAGTTTCTCCAGTGTCAAAATTGGACCGTCGCCAATGCGAGCTGATGATTTGCCAGCGCCACTCTATGAAAATGCAAACGAATGAAAAGTGATTTATTTTTGCGTAATCAAAGATTTATTGCATAGAATAAGATATTTATTTACTAAAATTTGCTGTTTTCTCGATAAAGTTAAATATTCGAGTTTTTTGCTGGTAGTTTCTTTTATTACTTTCTTTGTGTTTCTAACCTGATTATTAACACAATATCTGGAAAAATCTTGTATTCGAGAAATCTTTTGATGTAGATACAAAAAATAGAAGCAAAAAAGTGCAAATAAAAAAAAACAAATAAAGAAAAGTTCGGAAGTAACCGAACATTTCATACTCTTGCAACTCGCAAGGAGCAAAGCCGGCTAAATACCTTCAAAATGTAGCGAAAGGGTTCAACTTCTTGTTCGACGAAATCGTGAATGGATTACAATCGAATTTGGTATCATATTCATTTATTTGGAAGGTCATAGACTCACTTAATTTTATTACTATATTTTACTTCCCGTCAGGGAAAATTCTACTTAAATCATCCTCAAATGAATTATATGTGATATAAACACAACCGAAGAGACTAACACATGGCCTCAAAAGCCCCGGGTCTAACAAAGAAAACACCGGTTTTTTTTATATTATATATTTATCAATATATTCTCCATCAATAGCAATTCAATTCTTCCAGCGCCGTTCCAACATTTCAATACCACTTTTGTAAAACGATTTGTCTTTTGCCTCAAAATAGGCCTCAGTCTCAGTGATAATCTCTTCATTTAAGCGAAATTTCTAACTGGCGACCATTTTTTTGAAGTCTGCGAACAACAAATAGTCGCTGGGAGTCAAACCTGTTTTTTTGTTTCTTTGTTGTTTGTTGTTGCTTTCGGGCCCTGAAGACGAGCTTCACCAGCTGCTGCCCACTCAGTTGACGAAAGTGAAGTGAAGGATCCAGGTTTCATTCATTTGTCACATATCGACGAAAAATTCCGGTTTGTTGCGCTTAGACATGGCCAACCACTGTTCAGAATCATCAACACATTGCTGTTTTTGGTCAACAGTCAGCAAACGCTGCATCCACTTTGAACATATATTTCTCATGGACAAATGCATATGCAATATAAAGCCAACACGTTCTTTTGAAATTCTTACGATGTCAGCTATATCACGCAACTTCAGTTTCCGATCATTCAGAACGTTTTTTTGGTTTTCTGGTGTTACAGGTTCAGTTTGAACGCCCACTGTGTTTTGCATCATTGGTGTGTCTACGACCACGTTTGAAGTCTGCAAACCAACGTTTTATTGTGGTCTCTAATGGTGCGAAATCCCCGTAGCTATTACTTCCCTTGAATGGTATTTTTTCCAACTAAGAAGCGGTGCAAAATTAAACACACAAAATTGTTTAACATCCATTATTTTTAAAACAATAAAAGCTGAGTCACTTTTAGCACAATATTTTGCAAACTAATGAATAGACAAACATGAAATTTTAACAGCTGCCTTTTGAAGGTTACTACTAACCGAAAGTGAGGTTAATTCAATAAAACTAGCGCCATCGAGGTGTGAGACCCGGGCAGCTTATGTTAAATATTAAATTTAATATTATATATTGAGTTTGAGAAAACGTTAACCAGAGGGTTGAAATTCATTATATTAGGTACATGCGCCTTTAATATAACCTTATAACTTTTAAGAAAACGTGTTCACTTAATATTATTAAAATATTGCACATTCTGACCAACCTAACCGGCTTTATATTAGCCGGAACGTCGGAAATCATTATATAGAGTATATTGGGGAAGAGAAATGGAAGGGCTCTACCATAAATTTGCATTAACTTTGGACAGACATACTTGAGAACTTATTTTCAATCAATTTTATAAATATACTAAAACTCAAACAGCTCGACATATTCGGTATAAGGTTTGTGGGAGTAACGAAATTTATTGCTTGTAGTATGAAATGATTTCACTTATTTTCGGCATTACATGCACTTTAGTATATCCAATATTATATTGTATTATATTAGGTGTAGTAAAAAGAAATCCATATATTTCCAATAGATGGCGTTATTTATCTGTATCTCGCTAAGTCCGATCGTCAAAAATTGACACTAGCAAAGAGAAAATAGCTATATTTTACGGTTTTCTTCGTTAAGGGCGAAAATGCAAGCCAAGCGGCTGCATGTGCGCAGCGTTTATGGCCTTGTTACTGTAACAGCCAGTCATGCGCAAATTTGGTTTCGTCGATACCGTTTCGATAATTTCGATGTCAAAGATGCACCACGCTTTTGAAGACCAAATATCGAAAAAATTGAAATAAAAAAAAAACGTTTGGAACCATTTGAATAAGGCTGTATACGAAAAGTAATAATTAAAGCTTTCAATTATTTTTACTACACCTAATATGTACGTTCTGTTAGTTTTGCTACGATATCTAACATGTTGATATACATTTATACGAGTATATAGCCAACCGTAAGTTTGAAAATCTAATATTAGGTATATGGAAGATAAGGTAGTATTGACCCGATTTTATCTTAATACATATAATTAACAGAAAAAGCTGACCTGAGTTTCATTTAGCTACCTCACACACCATCACCAATAAATAAGGAGTAAAGTCAACCGGATGTTTGATAATCCTAATATTAGCCGTATGGAGGCTAGGGCATTTAGACATATGTATGTATACATAAATCCTTGACATATCAACATGCAAATACTAGCAGCACAATATCATTAAAAAATTATTGAAATTTAATATAATGAAAGTCATGCTGGCTGAGGCCTATAAGAAGTATGTGGAAAACTGGGTTCATTGGCTGGCTTGTAATGGCTGAAAAATGGCCTTCTGTGAAAGCGATAATAAAGATTTATATTAAAATATTTGAAAATGTTTTTTTGTTTTATTAGTCCGGGTTAAATTTGATCAGATAGTACATATGTATATAATATAAGCAAACTACTTTTGCCATTAAATTACTTTTTATACCTCTAAAATGCGCAGTGTTGAAAGCGGCAGAGAACTGCCAACGCGCACCCTCACACATACATACGCTTGCAACTGCTGAAATGCTAAGCTCAGCAAGACTGTCATCTAGTTCACTTCACCTTCGCTACACATCTGCCATGCCACGCCACACTATGACACACGTACATAGATAGACATTAGCGGTATATTATATGCAAGTGGACGTGCAAGGTGAGGCTCTCGAGCAAGTCTTGAGATGGACGACAGCTTATCGTTGCGTTGACGTGGAATGAATGCAAATAAATCGAAAGAAATACCGTTGGTGAAAACGTAAAAAAAAAGCATAGCCTCAGACAAAATGTGGCATGCCACAAACGTTGCAGTGACTTAGTGTTGTTGGTAGAGCATACCTTGCTTTACTGCTTGCATGTTGGTTGAAAATGGGTGTTTGGCTTTTGATTGAATGTGTATGCGTTGAAGTATTTGCATAGAGAAATATGCGTGTGTGTGTTTGTGCAAAACATATTGCAACGCCACGCTGCTGCACTTCATCACCTATCTTCAACTGTGAAGGCGAAATATAGACGAAAAATTAGAAAATCAGTAATCCTCAACAGCTGCTGCTGGCAAGCGCTCCGCTACACCGAAGCAAAAATATACATACTCATATGTAAATGTAGGTATGTATGTATGTGTGTGTATTTTCTGTGTTGCCTGCACCTTGGACTCACATTAATTACAATTTGGCAGCTGCTTTATTTATTGTTGTTGCACCAACTGCTGCTGCCACTGTCAGTAAGCTGTTGCCAGTATTTTTCACTTATTGGTCTCCTCCCCCACATCTCCCCTTTTCACAGCTATTTGTCTTGTGTTTTCGGTTTAGTTGTTTGTCGCTTACTAACCTCAGCTCAGGTGAGTGCAACGTTTTGTCCGACCACAATGCCGAACATACATCATTTGCCACAACCACAAGTCAGCTGGTGTATGACTGTATACAAGTGTGTGTGTGTATGTAGTTGCAATATTTGCCTCGACTTCTTTGCTGTCGTTTTTGCGAACGTGGCAAAGTGTATGACATATTGACTTCATTGACATTTCTGAACCAGTTTATGCCTGACAGTGATTTAGTGTACTAAGTGCGGCATTATATCGTCGTATTGGTAAACAATATGCTTGTGTGTTAGCCCGCACATTGCGCTCTTTGTGGCTCTGTAGCAATCTCCTTGTATATATGTGTGTTGGCAGGTACACAACTTCGTGTGAGTTTCACTTTGAGTCAACGGTAATGGAGTTGGCATTTTTCTCTGATAGCTTGACAAAGCAAAACGATGAACTGTGCCAAATTGAAAAATTACTTAGGCGCATGCATAAACGAATATGCACGAATATGCAAGCAGCTAGGCTTGTGTGCGTTATTACAAATGAAAATAATTAGAAATTTACTTTGGCTGCTAGTTTCAAAGAGCTCAATCGTTTTCGTATGATTGTGGTAATAATTGGTGTCAGCTATATGCTAAAGTGGTCCGATATCGGCCGTTCCGACAAAAAAGCAGCTTTTTAGTGAGAAAAGAACAGGTGCAAAATTTCAAAGCGATAGCACAAAAACGAGGGAATAGTTCGCATATATACAGGTAGACCGAGAAACGTACGGAAGGATATGGCTAAATCAACTTAGCTCATCACGCTGAATATTTATGTGTGTATATTATAGGGTCTCCGACGTTTCCTTCTAAGTGTTCCAAACTTTCTGGCAAACTTAATATACATTGTTCAGGGTGTAAAAATGTCATAAACCGCCGTTACACAAAATTGTGTTAGATTTCCTTATAATTGGAATATTATTATCATACACATACATATGTATGTATATGTGTACAGTACTTTAGCTGTAGTGTAGTTTTTAGTTTAACGCAACAAAAAGGATCGTTAGTAGAAGTAGTGGTAAACTAAAATCTTTATATAGCTCGACTTAACGTTAAGGAACTTGACGTAACTGAATTTTACTTTACTCAACTAATTTAAACTTAACTTTACTTCACTTAATTAAATTTTACTTAACTTTACTGAACTTAACTTAATTTTACTTAACCTTACTTTACTTTACTTAACCTAAATTAGCTTAACTTTACATTCCTTTACTTAATTTTACTTAACTTAACTTTACTAAACTTAACTTTACTTAACTTAACTTAACTTAACTTAACTTAACTTAACTTAACTTAACTTCACTTAACTTAATTTAACTTAATTCAATTTAATTTTTTTTATTTAACAATTATTTTCAGTTCATTAAAGTAATATTCACTCTGTGCAGCTCTGATATTGAAAAACATAATGTATTGGAGTGTAACTGAAATGAACTTAACTTGGTTAAACCAAGCTTTTATTTATTTTACTTAACTTAACAAAATTGAAATTAACGTATTAAATTTAATTCAATTTTATATTTTTAGTAGACTTCAACTAGTTGTAAAGGACAATTTTTAGTTGAATACAATAAAAATTATACTGTTGCGGTTTGATCTTGGAAAAAAATATTATTTCGCACTTGTCCTTACTAAATTGTGTAGCTAACTTAATTCATATAACTAACTTCAGCTAGCCTAGACTAATTTAATTTCATTTAACTAAATCAGATTTGTTTAACAATAATTAAATCGACTTAACTTAGATTAACAATAATTAAATCAACTTAACTTAAATTAGCATAATACGAAAAGTATTCTGTATTTTTCATGTGGCGTTAAGCGGGTTTTCTTTGCTTTTATCATTGAGCGCTACTCCTGAAAAATTCTACCGAATTCGACTTGACTAAATTATCAAACGAATTCATTAGACTTAACGAGATTTAAATTAAAAAGTTAATCAAATTGACTTAACCTTAATTACAGTGACTTAACTTAATTTAACTTAACATATATCTAACTCAACTTAACTTAGCTTCACCTTAATATTCCATAATATACGATGCGTAATGCATTTCTTTTCTACAGCATTAGCTTGGCTAAAATTTACTTGCAGAATAAGCCTAAAACTTAGATACAACGTCGATTTGATTCCGATTTTGCATAACTGGATTTGATAGTAAGTGGAAATTCTAAAAAAAAATAAAAAAGAAAAAATTAGCACCTAACGACGCACGTTGCCTCACATGATGACCATGTCAAACAATATTCACAAACCAGCATTTTCCTTTGTACTAACACTATTGGGTGGCACCAACAACAACTCAATTACTCAATCGAAGCTGCATTCCAACAAATGCGACGAAATGTGTATATTAGGCGGTAGAGTCATACACATATTTCGTAGCATTTCTTGGATTGAAGTTTCGATTTAGTAGCGTCAAAACGGCAACACACAATAGGCTTATGTTGCAATGTACCCAGCTGACCTTTGCTCCTTCAACTGAGAACAAAAAACTCTTTACGCCAACTCGATTTCCATGTCGTTGCACATTGTCCATAGTCCAATTTCTAAGTTTCGATTGTATTGCAAGGGTTACTTCTACGTTCCTTTTGGCCAAAACCAATTGCTTGTGTATCTTGTTGTCGTATGCAGGTTTGATTTAATTGAAATTACTCAGTCCGATATTGGCTGGTTTCCAGTAAAAGAGACTGACTTTCCGATTGTAGCACTTCTAGCGAAATGTGATGATTTCACTGAGCACAGTGTTAATAAGTGTACAGTAATATGTAAGCTTATGAATTATGTAGATTTCAATAATATTGTGAAATATTGTGAGAGTTAAAGGTAGGTGTGGTTTTACTTCTTGCCTTGACTTAACTAGACTTAGCTTAGTAAATTGTTTGTATTGTTTAATAAGAAAATTAAGAACCTTCAAATCTGATCGTCTTATAATCTCCGAACTCGCGTTATAGTAATTTTATAGTCTATCAATATCAACTCGAGGTTAAAGTACTCAACGAAATCATCTTCTTCAACCATGTTGATTCTCTATTTACCTAAAATAACCAATTCAAGCGAAATCAGTTCCGTTTTCTTGATTGGCGCTCTAACCGCTTAAAGGCATTTTTTCAAGTTCGCCATGGCTCCTCGTTTCGTAAGTCGGCAGAAATTCGAATTACAAATTTAACCAATAGTAGTTTGAAAAGAGAGTAGTCTATAGGCCAGGTGTCCGCTAGGTGGTCTGTTTCGAAAGTTGCTGAAATCCCTTCAATCTTTAAATAATTTAACAGACTATTATTTAAAAATCAGAAAATGGCATTCTGCTACTCATGCTCTTGCTTTGGTTTTCAGAAATGTCTTCAAGCTGGTTGCATCTGCAGCATCTTACAGCGACAAATTGTGGTACAAATATGTATATACATATCCAAAAAAGATTATTCTAACATAGTTTTAGGTCTGGTAAGACCAATCGAAAAGCTCCTCGAATGTTCCAATAGAAGTCAAAGCTCTAGTAGTGTCATTTTAGCTGTTGTAGTGGTAGAAAGCATTCCTAAAATTAATATTATTAATAATGCTGTTAAGTTGGCAGTTTTTGGTCTGATATAATTCAGCGTTCATCTGGTTATGTAGACCCGTGTGAACCACACAAACGGCTTTTAATATATGTACAATACATCAAATATAGTTATACTACCATATATTGCGTCAAAGCCTTTTTCCTACCATGAATCCGACATTCAATTTGTCAAAACAACTATATCGCAGCTCTTGGTTGGCCTAATTTTTAGACTTTGTCTTAATGAATGCGTCGAGTCAACAAAACTTTCTTTATAGTCAAATCAGGTAATTAATATTTCCTCAACTGCAAATACTAAATCAGAGTTTCCTAGAAAGGCTATTTCGCTTTCATTATTCGAGCATGCCTGATGCAAGTTGCAGAACGAGGATTTTGCGACATCTTTATATACATCATCAACCCTCTAAGTCAGAAATCAATTCTCAAGCTAAGTTTCGAACAGAATTACATGTGAACTGCAATTTTAAAAATGCACATTCAACACCATTTACAGTGTAAGCCCCTTAAATCCCCAAAGCATTAGCAAAACGGACTTGCCAATATATTGTTCTAACAAAAGCGTTCATATGCAATTTACAGGCATTAATGCACAACCATGGAAAACCAAATCGCATAATTATAACGATCACTTCAACACACTCACTCACATCAGCACACAGACACACATACTATCAAAACGCACTCAACCCAAGCCAGCCCGCATATGCAAACTTCAATTCAAGCACGCATAAAACCCATCAAGGATTTGCGGTTGTCTTTATTATTGTTTTGCGTGTCTCGACTATAGTGAAGCTTAGGACCTCAGTGGCTTGGACCAAGCACACTTGAGCAACACACACACACTCACAAGTTTTACTATGTGGCAAGACCGAGGCGTTTATGTATGTCGACCACATTAATATATGCATAAGCCTGCAAACGGGGGGCATAGAAACCACACGTACACACACACACACATAACACACTCACATACTCAGAAATTTGCAGTAATGCATGCACCATTATATATAGGTGCTCATATCTGTCAGTTGTTGCTTCTAGGAACTGCAATCCCGATAGAAATTACAATATTATTTTGGGCATGTGTGCCAGACACACCCAAACATGTGTACATAAGCACGCATGTGTGTCTGTGTATAGTACATGCATTTGTGTTAGTTATTTCGTACGCCACAATATTGATGTCCTTGTTGTTTTGCCTCAAGTCTGATAGATACTAGAAGTGTGCTTTGTTTTTGTATTTTATATGAATGTGTGCATGTGTGTGCTCGTTCATCTGTGAGGGCGCGTGTGTGTTTGTGGTGATTCGACGTTTGCTTACACACGTAAAATGCTTAAGTGATTACGTTATTACATTGTCTTTTGGTTGTGAACTAAGTCAACAGTGTCCTACTTGAGTGTTCATAGCCATGCGCACACGCACACATACACACACACACACACGCATCTATATATAATATAAGTGAATGCCCAGCAATGTATGTTCTTTTGTGGCATTTCGAACGTAGTAAATTCAATGAAATCATTGAGGTACATTAGTTCGGGTTGAGTGCGCCGTTCAGTAACTGTAATATTATACCTCTTAAATATTGATACCTCTCTTCTTTATACATATGAATTTTATATCAATTTAGACAATACATTTTTACGGATTCTGTTTAGGCGCGCAGTTTAAATAGACCCGTCCGAATCAAGTTTGATCTTGAATGTACTTTATCTACAAATTGTTAAGACTTTTTCATGCATTTACGGAAAACGTATTGAGCCAGGATCTAACGATTTTCTTCGCATTTTTTTGTTTACATATTGATTAATAGACGAATTAGTTTTGCATTAGTGTTTGGTGAATCTCGAATAGATGTTTTGCGCAACAACTACCGCAATTTCGCTAGCTTATGTCGCCAAAGAACGAGAAATAGATCTCGTCGAGGGTTAAAACATATTAACATCAACTAAATCGGCAAGCTCATGCAGCCCGTGAGAATTATAACATCTCCAGAAAGGGTCATATGAACAAGTTGCCTGACCTTAAATTTGACTTTAGTATTTTTTTTAGCCAACTAAAGGAACTTAATGGGAACCCACCAGTTGTGTTTCGTGGTATATTTTGCTCCAAAATAGAGCTGTGACGATAATGTATTGAGATGCAAGTAATCCTAACCTCTTTCTAAGTTTTCTGAAGGATCAAAATATAGTTACATAATCTATGTAGAAAGTTAGAATAATATAACGCGATATTGTAAAGGTTAATATAACACCTTAGAGAACACAACGAATTTATATGCAATCTTCTAGTTATATAAATATAATAATAATTATAATTTTAAAGCATAAAAGTTGATCACTTCACTTACCTTCTTTGTCCAATAAATGGATGGTACAGGATTTCCAGATCCTTTGCACTCCAGTGTGATTGGACCACCCTTGCGTGCCTGCAATTGTCCAGAGGTGGGTATAGCGCGTACACTCGGTGGAACTGAAAAGTATAAATGATAAAAAATGATCTATGTATGCTCTATCACAATTTATTACTATATTAAGGATCTGCGACTAAAATGCATATTTTTGTAAAGAGGAACCTAACGCTAGCTTTTTTCACTTATTGTCATTGTTTCTCCCAGAGCTTTGGTTTTTTGCTACTAAAAGGTCGGAAACAGATTTTAATGAATATTGCGGTCTCTATTCATAATATTAATAATAATAAAAAATGTTTATTTAAAAAAAACTTTTTTGTACAATTTAGGCATACAACTTCTTATTTATATGGAATTGTTAATCGCTATAATTTTTTTCTGTCTACCATTCATTTGATAGCGATCAATCATCATTATAAGATTTTATTGTCTCAGTGAAAAGGTTACAAGCCTTTTGGGAATATTGCTTGCTTACATTTTCTAGAACTTCTTTAATTGAATAACATTATTTCAATGAATCAACCAATTTAATTGAAAATTTTTTTTAAATAAATGGAACCCCAGTCAAAAACAAAACATCTTAAAAAACTTAATTGTATTGTCTCTATATTTAAATAATTCCTTTAAAATTTGAAATTATGACACTAAGATTAATATTCTCAGAATGAAAACATTTCTAAATTATTTCCACCATATTGTAGTGTCTTTTAGTTTTTAAAATATTTAGTTTACATTTTTTGAACAGGTGGCAACTCCATTTTTTAACAATCGATTCATCCGTACAATAAAAAGGCTCAATATGCTGCGTTCGTAGTATACATAGTATCGTTCCGCTACTCTATTTCATTTCATTTTACTATCGAAATCCACATTCATTCCAAAAAATATTTAGTTAATTTTAAAGAAACTCAACAACAAACATTTTGCCATTTTCACATAAGTTTTTTAATTAAAAGTTATTAATTAATTCTCCGATAAATTAAATGCGTAAAAAATGTTTAATACTCGTATCTTCTTCGAAATAAATATCACCTTGCAGCCGCCAATGGCAATATTCTTTGTTAAGGTCAAACCGTACCACAAAAACGAATTGCTTTACACTTGCTTGTTTATGTGTGCGATGGCATTAGAGATAGCAGTACAGCAACAAGAAATTACTTGAGCACACTACAACAATAGGCAATTGTATGTTGTTGTAACAGATTGCGCACCAAACAATTCTCGCATGCGATATTATATGGCATTGTTGTTGCTAATATGCCACAGGGCGTAATTTATACATAATATATATATCTATACATGAGTATATATGTATATATTTGTGTGTGTAAGTGTTACTGTGTGGCGAATAAGTAAGTGGCAAGCCATTGTGCGCTGACTTACCCAATATTTCCACAGTGTGCACTTGATCACGATTTATTTTGTCACTGATTTGACATACATAATCCCCAGCATCTTGTGGCTCTAAATCTGATATCTCTAAATTATAACCGTCTATCAGTCTTATGCGCTCATCCCTTGTCACCATTATATTGGAGGCAGTGAGCACGTTGATGCCGCGTCGCCACAACAAAACGAAATTTCCTGCAATGACACGAAAAAGAAGAGAAAAAAACACACACAAAATTTAGTGAATAAGTAAAGAAATGGTTTTTTATATATGTATAAAAGGGTGGCACTTAAAGGTAAGGTTTCTTTTAAAAATCTTAATCTCTTGGTCCATATAATATAAGAAATAGTGAAGTACTCTTAAATAGTTATTTTCATATATAGAATAAGGTGGTACTAAATTGTAGGTGGATAATATTTAGGATTTAGTAAATTTATTTCTCGATCTTGGTATGAAGTAAGTTTTAGCAGCTACGGTCAAAAAATATATACTGATAATTTATAAATTAAAAGTTTTTTTTTATATGTGAAGTAGGGTGGTTCTTAAATTTATGTTGAAAATATATTTTTTATAAATCTTCATCTCTGCACCGACACTATTGTTAAAGAAATAATTGTATCCCATTTTGAGTTTTCAGGGATTATGTTGAATTGACCCCTGGTCCACACTCGTTAACCGTTTTCAATCAGAGTAAAATGTATATTTTTAATTTTAACATTAGTAAAACCGACAGAGAAGGTAAGACTTGCATTTTTTAAGTACAACTTAATTTACACTTTTAATGTCTCTTTATGGCTAACCGGGTTTTAAATACGCAACTTTTTCTTATTTTGATATATTTTGAAAGAAAAAATATAAATGTGAGTTTTTCGTAATTCTCCCGAGTTTCGGAAGTCATTTCCATGTGTGCTTACCCTTGTTCTAATGTTAGTCTTCGATTAATAAATTTGCAATAATACTGAACATAACTGTCAAATATATGTCATAACTTTGACAGCTAGTTGGGCAGCTACCCATCTTGGAAATTTTATGCTTATATTAAAACACCCTATATACATAAGCAGATTCCGTAAATACACACACATAACCTTAGAAAATATGTGTATTTATGTAAATAAGAAGAATCCAAATGATCATACGACAGTCCACAAATGCGGCATACTAACCGCTTCGCTTCGTTCACATAAAAGATACAACAACTTTTTTTTTTGTGAAAAAAAGCAAAAAATGTTTGTTTTTGTAAAAGTAACAAGCGTCTCTACTCGAGTGCACACCAAAAAGGACAAAGCAAATTTAAGCAGCTACAAAAGCTCATTCATAAATAAAAAGCGCGCATACACAGTCAAAACGGAAGTATGATAAATTCGCCCATTAGCAGGAAAGCAGCAGGGAGGAGGATAAATGAAATGCTGAAATATGCCCATTGAAAAGTGATGTTGATGAGCGCGTTGTGTACAAAAGCGCTAAAGAAAAGTTGTTTTCAAATTGTTGCTTGCCATGCCTCGCAGTTCTGCTTTATTCTGCTGCCTCTCCACATGTTACAAGTAACGGTTTAACTGTCGCTTTGCGGAATTGCATTTGCCTTTAGTTTTCTTCTTTGACGAAAACTATGCTTTCCCTCCGACTGCCTGACAAACTAACCGCGATTGTGGTTTGGAAATGTGTTTTACACATATGATTTTATGCACATATATGTAGGTACATAAGTGTGCCTATGGATGTGTAAATAAAGTTCTCATGTATGTGTACAAGTATTTTTTATGAAAGGAAAATTGTCGCATAAACACAAATGTTGATTTGCTGATGTTTATTGGTATGTGTTTATTTTGCGGAAAGGATATGATTTATGCAAATATATGAATAATAAACGCACCTTTATTATATTTAGATATATGCGTGTGTTTTTTGTGTACATATTCTGCCTTATTTGCCACCTTAATGTATTTCTTTGAATTGTAGTTGCTTCTTGAATAAAATATGCAGATATTTGCGGTTCGGATTGAAGTTGGTGTTTCATGTGCCGTACTCTTGATTATACACTTATAAATTGCACTTGCTTGTACTTCAAAATACGAAAAACATGTAAAAACGTTAACTTTTCCATAAAAGCATCATCAATTGGAATGATCCAATCTATCAGTTTGTATAACAGCTGAATACTATATCGATATTTCAAAGACTAAGAGACTGTTTTGAATATATACAGACTGACGGCTGAATTGACTAAGCTCGTCATGCTGATCATTTATATATATATTTATAGGGTCTCCAACGTTTCCTTTTGTGTGTTACAAACTCCGTGGCAAACTTTATATACCTTGCTCAAAGTTGCTACGCAATACGAGTATATATTATTATAATTATCCGAGTGTAACGATGGATTGATTTTAATTTTTTTCTTTTATAATGGGCTTAAGATAATGATGAGCTTAATTGCAGTATTAGTTAAAATGTTCAACTCTCTAATATAGATTTGTAAAAAATTTCATATTATGCTCGCTTTCACTCATTCTAGATTCTTCTAGTTACTCGTATATAAATATGCTCTAAGTCTTCCTACTTGTTATTATACTTCATATTAGCATTTAAAGAACACCGTCTGGTTAGGTTTTGTTTATAAAAAATAATAAAATTTCGTTTTAAAAAGCTGTTCTGCGCTATTTGATCAAACAGTGCTCTCTCTTTAATTTTAAATTAGTTAAGCACGAAAAGCATTGTTCTCTTTAATTTCAATACACCATTGCGTTTACAAGAAGAAAGTATAAGAGGCTTTCAAAACGGTTTTGAATGTCATTCTCTTCAAAAATACACAGATATATATTTTTTTGGTTTTAAGAGTAAGTCAACTCACTAGGTCTACTTCTCACTGATCCAGAAGTAAACTTTGTAATATCCTCATTTTTGTTTGGTCTATGTTTCTCAGTCCAATAATATATTTTTTGTGGACCCTTTCTAGACTATAGTTCATTGAATTAGGGTCTACAATAAGATGATTACGATCTCTCACAGATAGAGTTAACCGATCAATTAAAAATTTGAACATTAACGAAGTGGGCCTCTTTGGCAGCCATTCGGTTATCTGACCGCTAGCACATTATTAATACGACACTGTGGCCAAACATAATATTATATTGAAAAATATCTGCTTGGAACATTTTCAGCAGTGCAGAAAGAAAATTTCGACTTTTCGTTTATGAAAACTAAATATTATTAAGAAAACATTAGTATGAAAATAGAAATAAATCATAGCAACCTGTATGAGTTCTCAATAACCTTTATCTTTCTCCTGTTTTGAATAGGAACTAATAGAAAGAAATAATAATCAATTGCACTAATAGTGGTTTTTGATGTTCTCTCTCTTTTTGAGTTCGCTAAAATCCCTCTAAGGAAAGTCCAAAAAGTCCAATAACTATGCCACTCACTATTCTAACTAAATCGTTAAGGTATAACATATGTGCCACAAAAACAAGTCACAATTGTGGAAAGACATATTTTTTATTTATATAAAAGTATTAAATCCTACAACTCTCGAATTCACTACAGCACTTGAAACTAATTAAAGTTTACTGTCATTCCAAACTAAACCCTCATTATCGCAATCTCTTTTAAACTCCGTATTTTCAAATACAATTTTATAACCCGAATATTATATCGTTAGTTTAAGTCGTTTAAAGCTGCAAGTATATTTTTTATCAAGTCGAATTTGGCTTGTGACCGTCGAATAAAGTACTTAAAGTGTTTAGTATGGAATAAAGCAACCTTTTTGAATTACCTGCCAGCAATAAGACGGCAATACGACAATACGAGTGGAACTCATAAAAAATTATTCGCAAAAAATATATTGTGACCGCAAAAGGGAGGCACGAACGCACAGAAGAACAACTTGCAGATGCACAACACTTGTACAACAACAGCATATTTCCACCTGAATGGACAAGAGAAAAAAAATTGGTAGTTACGGCAGAAAAACAATGTGGTAGCGCCCATTTTGGCTTTTCATAATGCCAGCGCACAGATTATATGGGGCGTATACGTGATCTGCCTGCACGACATGTAACGAAGTACAAGGATATATAGGCGGGTTTGTGTATTTATGTGTGAGTGTGTATGATTCATATGTGTGTTGTGTACGCACCTACCAATGTTGCATGCCACACAGTTGATACATATATAAGTGTGTGCGTATGCCTGCCAATGTGTTCATTTTGCCAGTGTATATTTTTATTGTTTTCGATTATTATTGAATGTTTATCATCGTAAAATAAATTTTTATTTTATTTTTATTTTTATCTGCACTTGTTTCATATTTTTGTAAATATTTTCATTGGCATCGATTTTCGCTACACATATATCTTTATACCTCTGTCGATGTGGTTGCGATGTTAAGTGCACTTCATTTCACTTGACTTCTTTTCAATTTATTCATTTGTACAGTGTCGATACAAACATGCGCACACACATGTGACTATATAGCGAAATCCATCTCTATTAGCCATAAAAAGCTCAATTTTATTGCTCAATTATTATTTTCTTCACATAACAGCCACTCATATGTGAACAGAAGACGGTTAATGCTTAAGTTTGCAATTTGAATTCCGGTTTGATTGCGAATTTTTAATATGCGTTTATTTGTTAGTGTTATAAAAAAAAAGAATTTTCGTATTTGTTAGTATCTAAGTTGTTTATGAGTAAGACTCGTATATTTGTGGAAGAACAAAATGCGTATTAGTTGTTTATGATTTTATAGGTAAAATTTTGCTTTAACTATTACCTATTAGATAAATTAAAATACATGAAATGAATCTATATAAATTAACGCTATTTCAGTAATAAAACCTTAAATACAGTAGACTCCATAATGATATTAAAAACAACTTCGGTTTATAACCTGTAAAACCATTAATATTTTCTGAAAATCAAAAAAAGTTATTGTAAACTCCAAAGGTTTCAATAATCAACAAAATTTTTTATAAATCCGGTGCAATATATTTTTTTGTCATCTCTATTGTCTTTTGGATTACTTCCAAAATAGTTGTGATAAAAAAAATTTGGCATAGATAAGATCCGCATCGACTTGATTTTTTAAGTTTACCACAAAGTTTTTAACACCTAGATTAAAATTTCAGTGACCCCCTAAAATATATAAATATAACATGAAGAGCTGATTCGATTAAGCCGTCGGTATTTATGCGAC